CTCCCTCCCTGCCTGCCTGCCTGGCACTCTGCCCAGTCATTCTGTGGCAGAAATGCCCTTAAACTCCAGACTCCGCCACACCCACAAAAGCAGACCCGGAGACCCTTCAATCATCAACAACCCCCACCCACCCCCGGACAAATCTGTGAAATCATAACGGTGATAATGACAACACAAAAATCAGGAAGATAATGGGCCAAACAGGAAGACGGTGACTATGTAAGAACAAAAAGGGAACAATAAACTGTAAGCATGGCGGGTAAAAGACATTTTCAGAATAATCAAAAAAATTAAGAGACCAGGAGGGATTATGAGGCTGAGAATATTAGAACTGAATTGAAAAATAATTAGTTGATAAACAGAATAAATAATCAGGAACAATAAGCATAACATTTAATAATTGTCAACAACTTGAAATCATCCTAATGGGACTTCCTGGGCTTCTTACTTAACATAGAGCAAATTATTAATGTGTTCATCAAGAAAAGTATTGCTAGATTTATCAGCTCTGTTGATACTCTTTTTAAAATAACAAAAAATCCCAGTAGTTCCATCACCTTTTTTGTGATGCGTTTAGCGCACAAATATTTCGATGGCAAAAAAGCAATATATTGTGAAGCCCTACTGATAAAGACATTTGCAGAATGAATTCAAATATGTCAAACTGTCTGAAAATATTAGGACAATTTTTCTAAATACTGCTGATTAAAGTTTCTAACAATAAGCACCAACAACCTTGAGCGACATGTAGTCACCAAGCAGCACACTGTCGGAAGATATGAAACATCAGTGACCTACATCTCAAAAACCTACTTGCTGCAACATTTATTTAGCTTTCCTCTATCAGAGGCAACGACACCACTCAACAAAAAAACGCTAACATTGATATGGAGCATGCATCTCTCTTTCTCCTACACAGAGCTCTGGTTGAAGGGAATTTAGGGAAATACACATTTTGGCAGACACACTGGCTCCCATGAAAACAATCAACTCCCAGCTGACACGTAAATAATACCCCTCGTGACCATGTTAATCTGTTTCAGCTAATAAACGATTACAATAAAAAAATCTGAAAGTTTCCCTCAAGAGGACACACATGCAAACAAACAATCACAACAATGGCTGTTCTTTGATGAAGCTGCAGGTTCCAGCTTAATCCTTCATCATCACATCAAACCTCACTCCTAAAAGAGATGAAACAGCTACTCGATTGGAAAATGGTCAATCCCAGAGAGCAACAGGGAGTCACATATAGCCTATCTGCTGCTCCCAAGGAAAACAAGCGAGTATTGGAAAAAGGGTGTGTGAGTGAATGTGTGGGGATTACAAAAAGCTGCATGACCTCTCCGCCTGTCATCTCAATGCAGTGTTTATAAATGCAGATATCAATGATTTAATAGCAAAGATCTCCATATTTTTACAAAAAGCCATGACCCTGCTTCACACGCATGAAGCACTTTGGCCGTGTCGTGCTGTAATGTGCATAATTAAATTAAATGTAACATTTACAGACTGAACTTGACTCTCGCTCTTGTCTTGACTCTGCATTTGATTGACTTAACTGCAGGTTAGTTGTCCTATCTATAACTAATGAAATACAAAAATGACCCTGCAATATAATTGTATAATTGTTAAAGTGCTCAGTAAGTAGCAACACCTTTTGGTACAAATCAATACAATACTAATGTCAGGCTCTAAAATGACCATACAGTTAAATCAACACCTCACTAAAACAGGTTAAAAACAATAAAACAGTATAACCGTCATTGCTTTTAGCTATATGTACCAATAAACAATGAAACTGTATATACATGATACAAATTAAATATTATGCAAATGTGTCACATGATACAAAGACAAATTCACCACAGCAGTACAACTACACCATTCTTACAACTTGTAGCAGAAGACTTCCTCTGGATGAACACGCTCAGATCTAGTTAAAACTTCAAAGGGGCCAATGCTGAATGGGGACTAGTTCCAAGAAAGTAGCTGAGCCACTGTCCGTGTGTGTGTGTGTGTGTGTGTGTGTGTGTGTGTGTGTGTGTGTGTGTGTGTGTGTGTGTGTGTGTGTGTGTGTGTCCTAACCTTCTGAAAGATAGTCCTGAATAACCGCAGGCGTTTAGAGAGTGGCCTATTTTAAAGAAATATCTCCCTCACAGTTTGCAGTTTGTAATTTGGTTTACCCACTTTTCTGTTTGCTGCAAAATAAATGATGTCGGTTTTTTTAGGATGACATCAATCTTAACTATGCAAGTTTAAACATGCATGCAATAGTATTAGTGAAAGACGCAGACCACTGAGACCTTAAAATTATGTTTTATACTCTTTGCTTTGTAATCATGGGTGGTCATCATGACTGCACATAGATCAGCTTTTCCACCATGCTGCATGCATCTACAAATCAAGAATGTGGGAAACATTAACCAACTGTTGGCAAATAATGCAATGATAAAACATTAGTTGCATAGTCGTCGCTGGCTTTATTAACCTTGCATGCGAGGCTCCAGGCCGCTGGCAGTGGAGACACCACCCCGCCTCTCAGCCCAACCTGGAGAGACAAATCTTTCCCCGGCGCCTTGTAGCGGCTCCTTAGCCTTTAGCCAACGGCCGACACTCTTCTGATAGGTAGACTAGCTTAGCTTAGCTACAACAAAACCTCGACTCACATTGCTCTGCATGCTGCTAAACACTGTGCATGAGTGTTTAAAACACAGCAGGGCAGAATAAACCCCAGGTGTAAATCTCTTTGTGTGCCTGGTTGTGGCTACAGCTATGCAGCGGTGGTGAATGGTGTGGTAGACTGAAGCTAGCTAGCGGTAAATACCGATGTATGAGTGGCCAGCTAGCATAGCTCCAGAGCCAAACAACTACGAGTTCATTAGCAGCAGGAGCATTTTTTTCTTCTGGCTAGCAGCACAGAGGATTCATTCCTGCCCTGCCAGCAAACAGCCTGCTGCCGTTTCCTCCGTAAAAAGTTCAGATTCCACAAGGAGACACAAAAGCCACTGTACCTGGTTCTCCATGTTTCTCTGGCCTCAGTGATTGTTGTATTTATTTACAGCGGCGTTTGTGGAGCGTCTCCCCAGCCTCTGCTCCTCATTGTGTGTCAATCCTGCCCAGAAGCGGAAGGCAGACGGCTCCCCTCCCCTTCCAGACGGCTGCTGGCAGGCAACCAAAACAGAAAGCTCTCTCAGCCAATCAGGGAGCGGGAAATTGAAGCACTCTTGAAAGAGACCAATGACTACACTCGGGAGGCGGGGCAGCCGCTGAGCTGCAAATACAATTAAAGCATTTTCTGCTGGTTTTCTCGAGTGACAGCGAGCCTGTCCCAATGGCTACGGCTCTGTTTCAATTGTAAAATGCACATGATGCTAATTGATTAATCGGGGTTCGATTACATGGCTTTGACATTTTAGCTACTGCTATTAGTCTGGCAAATGCAAAATCAATATAATTTTCAAAGACGCTTATAACTTACTCGTACAACTTTATTCCTTTTTTGTACAATGTGAATATTCTGGGATTGTACCTCATATATATGTTCGCACTATGGCCTACTATGCATTGCAGCTCATATGTTCATAAATAATAAGTATACTTTTTTAATGGGAAAATATATACAATTGTCTTAAAAGTTCACAATGTATCATTGATCTCCAGCCAATGCTGTTCTTATAAAAATCATAATACTCACTACTCCACAATTATAGTATTCAATTGCAAGTTTAAGATACTTGACTGAAGTGTTTTACATTTAATGCAATGTTGTACTCAGCTGAATTTCAGAGGGAAATGTAATGTGACTCAAAGTCAACACTTCCATGTTTGAACAGCTTTATTTATCAATTATATAAATTATATATTTAAATTAGTTGCAGCAAGTGGTTTTCTTGTTTTTTGCAGACTTTTTGACTGTATTTTTGAATGCAGGCCCTTTTTGTGGTTTTAGACCTTGCCTTGATCATCTTCATACTATTTTCATGACTGGGCAAAAGTACATATTTGAATTTCAGTGTTAGTAAAACCATGCACATTTCTGTATGTGTATTTAATGTTTACCAGCGATACATGGAAACCTGCTGGAGAAGCTATATTGTTTGTGCCCTAAAAGTAATATTTCTTGTACACAAATAAAAAATAATTGCCATTTATTGCATCATGCATTGTGTGCATCCTTGAGTTAACTTTTTTCTTAAAGTTGGTATCTCTAAATTCATTTATTATGGCTTCTAAAAATGATGTCTGTTTAAAAAATGTTTAATCTTAGTCAGGGAGCGAGGGCCCATTGTGGTGCTCAGACTTTGATGTGAGATTATCAGGTCTTAGCTATGGGACAGAAGGTCATCGCTCTCTCGTGCCTCTTCTTCTTATCCTGTGGCTCAAATGTGAGCGAAAGAAATCCCACCTTGCCGTCAGACACCAGGGTGTCCCACTGCTGGTATTGAGATATCAACCTCTAAATCCTCCTTTTCAAAATGTAAGAGATGGAGAAATACAAAATAAAGCCATGTCGCACAGGTTTCACACACATAACAGTTTTATTGTTAGTATTCATCAAAATGGTTATCAACAAGTCCAACTTGTAGAATAATGTGTAAATCCATGTAAATCATGATAAACCAAGATCTCCCAAAATTGCATCCTGTGACTTTCAAAGCCTTCATTAAACCTTAAATATTGTGCACATAACATATGTATCAATGAAGTAATACATATAGTGGTTCCCAACCTTTGAGAAAAACAAAATTGAGAAAAATGTCAGACTAACACTTTGAGCTAAATCCTTTATTAGTGCTCTTAATGACACCATTTACATTATGCTCACACTTGCGACCGGGTTACTTTGTCCAACATTTTAGCCATAAGCATGAGTGGAGGTTGATTTGATTTATCATGAAACTTATTCATCAAAAAAGTTTTGGACAAATTACAATTTTGACCTGATGATGGCGTCAGAGTGATTCAAATGCTTGTTGTCTGTAAAGCTTTAATGGAGATCCGTCAAACCGTTGTTTAGATATTTCACCCATAACCACAAATATCAACCTTCTTGTGGCAGTAGAAAAAAAGTCAGGCGATCGTGAAATGAAAGTAATTTGGATTTGTTGTCTGGCGGCCTGACTCTTAACTAGATGTGATGTCACAGTTGTGACAAGTGAAAACCTTAACAGGCAGGGGTAGATTCAAAATCAGGGGATTCCTCCTCTGGCAACCACGACTGCCAACTATTCAAAGTGGTGAATTGACTGACATTGCCATCACTGAAGCCGAACATTTTTAGTGATTCCAGAAATGTATATATTTCCAAACCCCTTGGTTGGAAGGGCTCGACATTATAAATGGCCCGCTGGCCCGGAAGCACTATTTAGACACCCCGGGCCAGCATAACGTAGGCCTACTTTCCACTTGCCCGCTCGGGCCACTAAAAATATTGTTTAAAAAAAAAAATGTTTCTTGTGGTATTGGTATTTTGACTAGCAATTTTGTTTCGTTCTACAACATAGCGTTTCGTGAGTCGCTTGTCGTTGTTGGGTGAAAAGCAAACATCTGTTTGCTGCGGAGCGCAGTGCGAGCAGGCTCCCGTGAGCGGGAGCGCGCTCCTTCACTACAGACTATCGCGCCATCTAACCATTCGCCAAAATGTTTTTAATACCAGCGGTAACCGGCCAAGCGCCGGGCAAAAAACTATCTTCAAATAAAAGAAAGTCACCGGAGGAGTTCAAGGAGAGTGACAGGGAGCATGAGAAGAAGAGGGGAGAACGTTTCAGCCAGCTTGATCGATGGAAACCCTTTTATAATCTATCGATTAGATTTATGATTCGAAAATGATAAAAGTAGGGTAGACATGTGGAGATTATCCGGCTGAACAAAACGTGCATTTATCAAACAGGTTTGTTTTCCAAAGACCTTATTTCCAGCTATTTTCCAAAACCCTGTGGAGAAATCCCATTGCTTTTTGTCGAGGGAACCAGCGGCTTACTTCCTGGTTTTAGGACGCGTCACTGCACCTCTCAATATGATGCCAATATAAACAAGGTCTTCTGTCGGCTCTGTACATCTATGCTGACAAGTAAGTGAAGAGAATATAAAGGTATTGGCTATAGGGAAATGTCCCAGCAGTTTAGGATAATGAAGGTTCTAATCTAATCTATTACATAGCCATTACATTTCTAACTCCTGATAATGACAGGAAGGCAGAAAGCGCATTATACAAATAATAATACTCATAATAATAGCAGACATTTTTTAACAATGACCACAATATAATTATTTTAATAAACCAAATATATAACAATTGAGGGAAATTAGGAAGAACTGATTATTCAAATGTTGTAGTAATGTAGTTCGTGCGTAAATTACTATGGCAACAAATGTGTTAGTTTTCTTCATTACTAGTCATTTTTTGGACGAATGCTCCGGGCCAGTGGTTACAATGGTGGGGCCAGTGATAATACAATTCCTCCGGCCCGGAGGGCCAGTGGCATTTTACCCTTAATGTCTACCCCTGCGATTTGATCTCGAGATCCCAAACTGTAAAGCTATTCCTTATTATCTAAAGACAAGGTGGTGAAATGTTACAAATATAGGATTCTAAGATCTTATCATATGAAATGAAATTCAGCTTTTTTCCCCCTCTTTGTATCTGCCTGCCTGTCACCATTTACATCTAGGGATTACTTTTATAAAAAAGCACTGACTGCTTTTGAATACTTCACCACCCACAGGAGGTCACTTTTAAGCAGGTCCAGAGAATGCCTGGGTGCATTTTCTAATGTTACATCTTTTGTATCCTTCAGGAAGGATCATGTGAACAGAGGCCTGATGTACCTGAATATTCTCAAACAACCCAAAATCAAGAGCTTTCTGAGAGAGAAGAAAAGGCAGTTCAGTTATGATTCAGTAACAAATATGACATATTTGCAAGTGATTGTTGTGGTCCTGAATGAAACAAGAAACAGATATGACTTGAAAGTTAGTAATAATCAAATTAATGTCATAAAGATAAACAGATAAAGATAATCAGCATAACCTGAACAACTCAGTTCAGGTTATGCTGCTCCAAAGACAGTGTATGCCTGTCCTCTGGGAACCACCATAAAATACCACATGCTTAAGAATAATAGTATCCATGTTAACAAAATGTTAACATGTAAAGAATAAAATGTGCATTAATTTCTTCAAATTAAATAACAGTAATTGATTTATATACAAACAAAAAATGCTCAACTGCCAAAGACTCTTAACTTCCAAAACTTACATACAAATTCTCAAATGTTCTCCTTTATTAGACAATTGATGGTCTTTAATTCATTAAATGTCTATCAATAAGTTATATATCAGTTAACTCTTAACACCAGAAATCCTCCAGGTCCGTTCACAACAGTTTTTATTTTTTATATTTTCCATATAGTTTCAATTGGAGTAATCATCGAATGTGCTTCAGTATCAAAATTATTCATCATTAGATACATATAAATAATGTTTTTATTTCAAATACAATTTATTTAAACTCTGAAACATGCTGTAGATTATACCAAAATACTTTGTGTGTCTCATAGATTAAGAATTGCAATAGCCTTGTTTCGACAATGATTATTAATGTAAAAAATAGAGGGCATATTAAACAATGGGCCTCTTGGCAAAGACATAAAACACAGTTCGATCTCAATTTTTTGATATAGTGCATCATTTATCACTTTTCTCTCAAGCTTCCCCTTTTCATTATCAACACAAATATTTTTAGCACTTACTTATACTGGCATGGTATATAAATATCTTTGTTTTCAGACGTTAATGTGCAAATGAGTTCTGTTAAAACCTGCATAACTCAACCCAACTCGGACCCCAGTAGACCCATTTGGTAATCCAGCTAGTGTAAACAATCTTTTAACGGAATCAGAAAACAATCTTATGTGATCAAGTCATAATCCTATGTTATCATTATTCTATGCGACTATTTCCTCACAGATTGTGTCTTTAAGGTAAGAAGCCTCTATGAACACATGAAGTGTGCTAATGCAGATGTGCTGCCGACGTTATACATGACTTTGTTAGCACCGTTTCTGTGTTTTGGTCGTGCCCTTCAGGACAATATGAGGTATTC